ATATTCCTTCCATCTTCTTTTAATACTTCCTGGATCATTTAATATTCTGCCCAAAGCATCCTTGATTATAGCAACTCTAGGTTTGATTTCGTTCTTCAGTTAATTTTATTTTTTTTTCATATTTAACACAGGTGTTTATTAAATAAAAAGTCTCATGAAAATAAAACCCTTTGATAAATTTTATTCTTCATATTTGGGGAAGGGTACAGATTCTAGATCACATCTGAGAAATCGTGATACCAGTGAGCTAAAGGTTGCAAGTTGGCTGAGAGAAATAAAAAATGTGAGAAAAATTAGGAGCACCATGTGCGGCTGCTGCTTTTTCTAGAACATTCAGAGAGTTTCTCCAGCCAGTCCTGCTCCAGTTGTCTACATATACCAATGTTATAGAAACTGAAATGTTTTCTATTTTTTCTATTAAGTTGTTCAAGCAAAGCATTTCCTATGACTTAGTTCTAACACATGAGAAGTAAAAGAAACTAACGGGACATATACACTCATGCTGCTTAGTTCTAATGTCTGTATGAAAGTACACAGAATAACTATCGCATAAAACTTGTATGAACCATGCAAACTGGCAGTCCTTCGCACTTTAATTCGCGTCTTTTTTGCTCAGTCATGTCAAGATGCTTTTCAGATTTCAAATATCAGTGATTACTGTCATCATTGTGCCTCAAGAAGTTAATAAAATACACATTCCTTTTTTTAAATATTCCAGTTACATTCTAATCAAAGGAGGAAAAAAACCCAGGAAATATTATCTTGCACATCTTTTTCTTTTCCATCGTAACAATGAAAATGTGCAATATCAACAAAACTCAAGTTTAGCTTGTTTGTTTTGCTTTCTTTTTTAATATTGGAAGGTACAAAGCTATAATGGCCTTCTAGAACACTAAGTTTGAAACAGATACTTGTTTGTGAAAACACATAACTGGTATTTTAAAACTTTATAAAAATTTGACAGAATAGTCTCCTAAACAGCAATCTTTATGTCTGTAAACAAAGTATAAACTGGCTTATCCAGTTTCCGCAGCTTGTCAGTCGGCCACCAACGTGACAGAGATCATCTTTAATTTTAAGATTATCCATAAAAACTAATTTATACTCCACACACTGCAAACCTAGGTAATAGTTTTGGGAGAAGGATGCGGGAGGGACAAGAAACGGCCTGTCATCTACTTTGTGAGTCTTCCAAGTGTTCGTATTACCAACACTTAACAACTACTTTTCCCTAGAACACCATTTTTGCTATACTAGTCATAATTATTTTATTCCTTTAAAGAAATAAGTGTAATCTCTATTTCATATCGGTTTTCATTCACACACTTGAAACTTCAGACACAGTTGTGGGGGAGGGTGTTTCCTGTCATTTCTGCAGTCTTCTCTCTGAAACATCAGAGACAGTAATAGCTTGGCTTATACATGCATGCTGCCAGAGTAGCTCCATGGGACGTGCACCCCCTATTTCAGATACACAAACAGAAAGTGGGTCTGGGCAAGGGCAAACTGCAACTGAATTTCTGCTGGGACCCTAGCAGCAGACCAGTGATGTTTACTCCTTCACTTTGCTGATAAAGTCAGTGAATCTGCTCACATTCTCTTCCTGCTGCTCCAGTGCATCCAGGACAATGCCCATCGGCGTCTTCTTCAGCCCTATCCCCTCCATTTTATTCTCAAGCTTGTTCTTGAGGTTCCGAAGCCTCAGAGATGCGTGGATGAACATCAACAGCAAAGGGAAGGTGATGCCAAACACAAAGACCATGACTCCCCCAAACATGGATATGAGGAAGTAGCTAGACACCATGACGATCAGCATGAAGGTGGGGGGGTACTCCTTCTTCAAGCGCCGGAGGATGTCTTTATTGTGGGCTGCCCACACAAAACCTGTGAATACCAACACCACCATGATTCCTCCAAGGATCATGTTGGAAGGACTCAGGAACCCCACGACAGAAATCAACATGGCAGCCACCACCAGGTAGTTGGTCTGGTAATAAAGCAAGTTGTTCCATTTGGAAATGTCTTTGAAATCAGGGCGAGCGAAGCGGTCAGAGCCGGGGAAGAACTCGTCCCAGCTGCGGAGAGGAGCGATCTGCACGTCCATGGTCCTCGGCTCCCAGTTAGTTAATTTTATTTATGGTACATGCTAAAGTCTAGTCTTTTCATTGGATTTTTTAATTAAAATATTATTTATTGGTTTTCATTTAATTCCTTTACATTATGTTTCATTCATACACATTGTGTTTTATACACTCTTTCATTTACATTGTTTCATACAATCATACATTCTATTTTACATTTTTTAAATGGGTTTGCTTACAAAGTTTATATACATTGTGATTCACCCTATTCTTCATTCACATTGTGTTTCATACAATCATTCTCATAATACCTTTGTTGTACCATCGAGTTTACTATGACTCACGACTCTGATCCCATGACCAATGAGCCAACTTCATTATCTCTGACACATCTGACCCCATTGCCACAGTCACTGTGTCAGTCCATCTCATCCACACTCCTACTCTGTTTCACTGACCCTCTACTTTTCCAAGCATGTTTTCTTTCTCTGAGGACTGGCCTCTCTGTTAGGTCTTTGCACTGGATGTAAGGCCAAGGACTCAGGAAGGGACCAGAGAAAGAAAGGAAGCTAAAGAAGCTTTATTAAGGGGTCTTCTGGGTGGGATTGCTTAGTCTACTGAGAGAAAAACAGGCAGAGGGACAGACCAGGGAAATACCACACACTAAAGAGGACTGGGGCAGGTTTTATAGTAAGGGTCTTTAGGGAGGGAAGGGGGTGACATTCTATTGTGGTTTAGCCAGGTCTTCTAAGGAGGGAAGGGAGGAGCACTCCATGATAGTTGAGGCTGACATTCCTTGAAACCTTTGTTCTCCCTTTGACCTTGATCCCGGGCCTGACATCCCAGCCCAGCCCCTTTAGTGATGCTACTTCCTTCTGAATAGTGTAGAAGATCTGGAGCTCAGAGGCTGGATAGGGATGGCCCAGGACCAGTAGCCAGGGGATCATATGGATGTCACAACAGCTGGTTCAAGTTGGTTAATTCTTTTATCCTGCTACTGGAAGAGTTACCCTGGCATTTGCAGTGGTGAAGGGGGTTGTCCAACCTGGGCATCTTTAATCTTCAGCAGCCAGGCCTCTGATGTTGGCTGGGATGGGGACCGCCAATAGGTGCCGAAGGACGAGGGTCAGGGCAGCAGTTAGCCCAATGACCTTCACCACACTTGAAGTATTCACCAGGAGATAACACGAGGAGGTGTTTTCTGACCACTCACCACTATCTGCCATTACCAGGGCTTGAGTCTGCAGATTCCCTTTCTGGAGGGCATGAGTCTCCTTATCAGCCTCTGCCTATTCTTCTCAAGTATTATAACTTTAAATGCTATGTTATCAGGTCTCAAATGGGTGTTTAGGGGCTGTCCTCAGCCTTTATGAGTTTCTTTTTTGATATTAGGGGCTGATTGATAAGATGAGTAGCTAGGATGGTGGCCTCTGCTGGGGAGGTAGGTTCTAAGTAGGTATACTGAGTCAGGGCTTCGGTGAGATAGTTAACGAAAGCAGCTGTGTTCTCATCTTTAATGGGAATAACGCCACTGTATCACCTGTTTGCATCGTTTATGGTCAGAACTACGACAGTATCTGTTTCATTCTTGATTAATGAAAACTTTCTTGGCAAATGCTTTCGCTCTGGTTGGTCTTGTGCTGGTCCAAGAATTTCACCTATAGCAACACAATATGAATGCCCCTGGCCATCCCTCTTAATCATGGCCTTAGTTCCGAAAACCAACAAAAGAGAACCGTGGTCCGGTCCAATTCTTTCACTGAAATTTTTAAAGTCAAAGAATGTTAATTATCTTTACTCTTGAAAGGTGATATTAGTAACATTTTTAGGGTTCAAATAATTCCAGCAGTGTTGCATTTCTTGCTTTCTAAAAGAATTAATGTTAATTTGTTTGCCTTATGATTGTTTTCTAGGTTAACTTCGCAGCCTGGTGCTACATTACCAAACGGACATAGTAGTTTATGTGAGTATATTGTATGAATTCCTTAGTATTGAAATTATTATAATGGTATTAGAGTAAGCATTAAGGTGGTGCAAAATATACTAATTTGATAGTATACTTTTTATATGGTTGGAGATGATTGGATTTCAGTTGTAATAAAAACTCGCATAATTTTTAAATGTCAAGATATCAGTAATAGTTTAAATAATTTAAAATAATAATAACATTACAAAACAGAAACTTTAGGTCATTGAATATTTGTATTACATTTTTGGTAATCTTTTAAAAGTAATATATTGGTTTTTGCTTTTTTCCTTTCTTCTTTGGGGTGGGTTGTTGTGTATGCTGTACTTTGTGAATGAAAATCTCTCTCCTTTTCTAGCCCTTCGAAGCCACCCCCTTCGTGGGGAAAAGAAGGGAGATGGAGACCTTTCTTGTATAAATGGTGACATGGAAGTCAGAAAAAGTTGTCGTTCCAGAAAAAACAGATTTGAAAGCGTGAACCAGAGTTTATTATTTGATCAACTTGTAAATAGGTATGACTATTTATACAGTGAACAATCTCAGTTATTTTTTTTTAAAATTTACACATATACACACGCATGCACACACAACCTCCGCACAACTCATACATACAGTTTTTTGCTATCAAGTTGACCCCATCTCATAGAAACCCTATAGAACAGAATAAAATGACCTCATAGGGTTTCCAGGACTTCTGAAAACAGACAGTATGCCACATTTTTCTCCTGTAGAATAGCTAGTGGGATCAGAACTACTCACCTTTTAGAAAAGCAGCCAAATGCTTACCTGCTGTGAAACCAGGGATGTATATGCTTACCTATTTCTAAAAAAATTGTGATAAATATTATGTAGCAAAATACTTGCTATTACAATAATTTCACATGTATAGTTTTAATGATATTAATTATGTTTATCATGTTATCCAGCCATCACCTTTATCTAGTCCCAAATTATACCTTCATCCTTAACAGAATCATTGTCTTTTCCCACTGCTCACTTACCTGTTCAGGACATTTTTAAAAAGTAATTTAAGTGTTTTCCCAGCAATTAATACAATTCTTTTAAAAGCTTAGTTTGAGTTAACATTAGTTTTGGGAATACTTGTCAGTTTACTTGATTTAGATATAGCTTGTTTAGCTAATTTTTTTTAAGCTCTTTTGTGTAAGTCTATTATATAAAAATAAATTTTTCTCTCTCCTTGCAGCTGTTTTAAAGTTTACTCATTAAACATTTGTGATTTTGACAACTTTTTAAACAGCATAAAGTTCTAGTATTAATATGTAATAAGTAATAATAGTTTGGCCAAGATTTTCAACTGAAAATATTCTGAGGCTATGTATATGGGATTGAGTCATTTAGTTTCATGAGTGAGTCTAATAGATTGATCAATATCTATGTTCATAGAAACTTATTTTTTTCTTAGATACTCCATAATCCTACTTAATCTTTATAACACTCTAGATAGACATATATCAGTGTGATCTTTATTATTTGACAGAAGAGAAAATGATAACACTGTATTGACCATGCCAACTTTGGGGATTAGTTACTGTTTATTAAGTGTTTATATTAGTATCTAGGCACAGAATTCAAAACTCACTGTTACCAAGTTGGAACCCACTTATAACTTACCCTCCAGCGGGTTTCTGAGGCTGTAAATCACAAAGGATGCAATTCCCCATCTTTTCCTTTGGACTTGCTGGTGGATTTGAACTACCAGAGTGGTGCAACCTTTGGGTTAACAGCATAACCCTCTGCCGTCTATGCCACCAGAGCCCTCTAGGCACAGACTATTTTTATATAAATGTTTGAAAAAACAGATAACTAAAATTTACTGGGCTATTAACATGTGAGTATTCTACTCTAGTTTCTGAAGATACCTGTTCAGTTAATCTTTTATTGTCTTTAAATGTTTTACAAATCCTTTTATTCTGTATAATTCTTAACATTATCCTTAAAAAAGTATTTATCTGTCCTAGTATAGTGGATCTAATAGTCAGTTATTGATGGAGCCATAAAGAGAAATTTCTTATCTTTCATAGACTTTATTTTAATTATTTAAATTAAGACAGTTACTGTTAAGTAAATGTTTCAATTTTTGTTTTTTACATTTTAAGTGTTCAGTCTGTTTGTAAAATTTCCCCCCCTACCTATTTGGTTCTGTGTTTGTAATTGACCATTGTCTTCTGACTGTTTATAAAAAGAGTAATTTAATTGGGATGTTAAATACAGTTAGGCATCAGATGAATTATTATGCTGTGATGAAGACCTGTTTTATATGTATAATTTTTAGAATGAATTTTAATGAAAGTTTACAGAGACTTTGGATTTGCATTCATTCATAGTTGAACACTTTCCTCCCTGCCCACTCTTACCCCCTATTTTATTTTTCTCTTTGAAAAGTAAAAAAAAAATTCTTTCATTGTTACACAGTCCCTCCCCCCAAGTCCACTCCACTCTGCAGCTTTCATTCTGGACTCTTGTCGTGCTAGTAGTACCTAAATCATATATTCCTTTTTTTTTTTTTTTAAACTGATTGTCATTTTCTTGTTTTTGGTTTTATTTTTACAGCATATTCTTCCCATATAATTTCTCCCCCATTCATTCATTGTTGTACGTTTTCCTCCCTGTCCATCCCTCCCCACCCCAGTTCACTTTTCTCTTTGATACAATACACCACACACACTCCCCCCTCTCCGGTCCACAGTCCACTTTACTATGCATTTCTTTTTCTGGAATCTTGTCATGAAAATAATAGCTAATCATATATTCCTTTTAAACAGTTCTCTCCCTCATGTGTTTCAATGCAGTATACATTATTTCTCTCCTCTTTTCCTAGGCTCCCCCTAACCCTGATATCAGTCCTGTTTTATAATAGTGGCAGTATGCAGTATTTTCCTTTTGTGACTGAGATATTTCATTCAGCAAAATGCCCTCCAGAGTCACCGATATTGTATAATATTTCATGAGTTCCTTGTTTTTCAATGCAACATAATACTCCATTGTGTGAAAATACCACAGCTTCTCTGTCCATTCGTTTGTTGATGGGCACTTGGGTTATTTTCACCCCTTTGCTATTGTGAACAAAGCTGCAATAAACTTGGGTGTGCATTTATCTCTGCTTGGGTGGCAGTTATGGTTTCTTTAGGGTATATTCCCAGCAGTGGAATTGCTGGATCAAATGGTATTTCTAATTTCCAACTTTTTGAGGAAGTGCCATACTGCCTACCATAGTGTTAGCACCATTTTACACTTCCACCAACAGTGAATAAGGGTTCTATTTTCTCCACAGCCTCGCCAGCATTTGTTGTTTGCTGTTCTGTTAAATTTGCTATTCTTACTGGGGTGAGATGATATCTCGTAGTTGTTATATGTATGGTCTCATCATTGCCTAAACTCTTACTTTTCTTACATGATTGTAGTACTGCTGAAGCTGTACTTCAGGAAATGGACAACATTAACATTAGACGGAATCGTCGATCAGGAGAAGTAGAACGACTTCGAATGTGGACAGATACAGAATTTGTGAGTGTATTAATTGTCACATCTTTTATAGTTTTTTTAGTGTGTGTTTTTTGATTGAGAAATTTAAAGGGAGACTTAATAGCAGTTAGATTTTATAGAAGTAATACATTTGTTTCTTTCTCGTTGTTTCCACTTCAGTTTATTCATTACTTGCTTTTGTCTTTTATCCGTACATCACCTGCCACAACCTGCTTTTATGAGATGAATGATCTTGAAAGTCCAGCTCTGATTCTTTCAGTCATCTGATCTGCACTTTTAATAATTTTTTATTGTGTACCAGTTACTTAAATATACCTTAATCTTCATAATCTAGTTTCAGGTTTATCTTGTCTTATACCATTGCCTAATCCCAAATGAAGCAAATCTTTTTTACCCTATGCCTTTTACTGCTATTAATACTTTTTGTCAGTGACTAATAGAATTCTGCCTTTGCTTCAAGGTTTGTTTCAAATACCTACCTTGACAAGAGGAATGCCATCTCTTTGAGTTCTAGACTAAGTTTTGCCTTTCTTTTTGTCTTTTAATATATCTTATTATTTGTTAGTTATTTGTGACTTGATTTATTGCTGCCTACTTTGCTGTAATTTGCTTGAGGTAGAGAATATGTACATGGCATTGTATATTTAAAATTTTTCAGTCTGTCTTAAGAATTATTTTTTTTATCTTTTTTCATTTAAATTAATTCAGGAAGCTCTATTTTCATGGATTTCTGCCTTGCAAGTGAAGAATCAGGAAATTTTATTGAGAGTAGATATAATCCATTGAATTAAGTATATTTGTAGCAGGGAATAAATACCATGTTAAATATTTGACAGATATCTGTCTTTAAAAGGAAAATATGGATATGTATTCAAGAGTGAAGAGACGAAGAAAGTCCCTGCGAAGAAATAGCTATGGGATACAAAATCATCATGAAGTCTCTACTGAGGGTGAAGAAGAAGGTTTGTAAAGCACCTTGCGAAATAAGTAATGCAAAGTTAAGGGAACAAAATATGTACAAGTATATATATATATGAGTGATATTTTAGCTTTTAAGGTCTTTAGTGTATAATCCTAAACAATTATGTTGAGAAGAGAGTCTGAATTTTTAGTTAGACAAAATGCTTCAAACTCTACATTATACAGTAAGGAAAACCAATTTGTTTTATAAATTTCCACTCAAATAGCAATAAAATGAAAAAGAAGAAGGAAAAAGACCCTAGGTTGTATATTCTGTACTGTTATATAATGTGTTTTCTTAACTGGTTTTGAGTGTCATTGAATCGACTATGGTTCATAGCCGGTCTGTGAAAGTGGATTGAAACCTTTACCCCATCCTGTACCTCCTCACAATCTCTAACATGTTCAAGACCATTGTTACAGTTTTTGTGTCAGTCTATCTTATTGAGGATCGTCTTCCCATTATTTCTTGACTTCTTTGATTATTTCTAATCATGACTGGTAATTATGGATATATAAGTAAGATGAAATCTTTGACAACTTCAGTATTTTTTCCATCTACCATGATGTTGCTTACTGGTCCAATTAAGAGGATTTTTGCTTTCTTGATGTTGAGATATAATCTTTATTGGAGGTTATAGTGGTTAATTGCTTTAGTGTCTGGATAATACAAAAAGATGAGTCTTGTTTTTGAGGTAAAAATAGATTTACTAGATAGATTTACTAGAAAGTTACATCCCCAAAGGATGTCTCTCCTTGAAAGGAGATACAGAGAGGTGAAGATGAGTCTTGTTGATGAATCATTCTCTAATCCTAATAACACATTCTTCTTCATATAGTCCAAATTTTTGGATTATTTACTTAGGATACTGATTGAATAGGTAAGGAAAAAGATAGAACCTTGTACATGTCTCTCATTTTAAACCATGCTTTATTTGCATGTTCTGCTCCAGAAGCTGCTCTGTGAGGCTTCACAAGAGCACAATTAAGTGTTCTGGGATTCTCGTTCTTCTCAGTGTTTCCCATTATTTATTATTCTTATCCTCACAGTTAAATGCCTTTGCAAAGTCAACAAAATACAAATAAACATCTTTCTGGTCTTCTCTGCTTTCAGCCAGCATCCATGTGACATCAACAGTGATAATCTTTGTTCCATGACCTTTTCTGAGTCTAGCCTGAATTTCTGATATTGCTCTATGTGGTATTCCAACTATCTTTTGGATAATCTTCCATTAAGATTTTATTTGTATGTGATATTAATGATATGGTTTGATAATTTCCTCATTCTGGGCAATCTTTTCTTTTTTAAAAATGGAAACAAATGTAGATCTCTTTCAATTGGTTTGCCAGATAACTGTCTTTTAAATTTCTTGGCATAGACTAGTGAACACATCCTGGGCTAAATCTGGTTTCTGAAACACCTCAACTCCTGGAGCCTTATACAAGCCTTGTATTTTCCCAGTACATTGAGTGTAGCTTGGGATCATCCTTTATTGCCATTGTTTCTTGAACATACGTATTTTGAAATCTTCAGCACTGACAAATTCTTTTTGTTATAGCAGCTCAATGTATTTCTTCTCTGCTTCCTGCATCATTCACTAAATTGCCTGTAGAATTTTTCAGTATTGCATCTTGAGGCTTGATAATGTCCTTCAGTTCTTTTAGCTTGAGATATGCTAAATATATCCCTTTTGATTTCTAACTCCAGGTCTTTATGCATTTTGTTATATTTTGGTTTGTCTTCTTTTTTTTTTTTTTTTGGTTTGTCTTCTTGAACTTCTCTTTAAAATCTTTGGTTCCGTTCTCTTCCTTTGTTATTCCTTCTCTTTGTTTTGATTTTGTATATTGAACTACAATTTTCAAAGTCTGTTCTCAACGGCATTTCTGTCTTTTCATTCTTTCCTATTTTTTTTTTTTAATTCTCTTTTGCTTTCTTCATGAATAATGTTAATGATGCCATATCTGAATTCCTCTGGTCAGTGGCCATTAGTGTTTAGTGCTTCAAGTCTGTTCTTGAAATTGTTTTTAAACTTATGAGAGACTATCCTATTTTGGCTCTCCTGGACTTGCTTTCATTTTTTTCAGCTTCAGTTTGAACTTGCACATGAGTAATTGATGATCTCTTCTTGTTTAGATTTTCAGTATTGAGCTTGTACTTTAACCTTTTCCACATATGTAGTCAATTTGATTCCTGTGTAGTCCATTAAGTCCATATATACATAGTCACTTTTTTAAAAAAAGTATTGACAATTCCTGAATCATTGATTGTACATTATTCTTTCTTGCAATTACTAACATTATTTCTGTCATCACTGCCACATTGTCTAGCTACCAGTCCTTTGTTTCCAACCTTTGCATTCTAGTCTCCAAGTAGTATTAGTGGTTTTTGATTGCATGCTTGATAAATTTCAGATTGTAGATATCTTCAGTATCTTATTCTTTGACTTTAGTGGTTTACTGCTTGTATTTGAATAATAGTATATTAGCAGATCTTCTTTGTATTCTTATGGATAATATCACTGACAGCATTGTACTTCAGGTTAGATCTTGAAATGTTCTTTTTAATGAAGAATGCAACACAGTTCTCTTTTAATTTGTTATCCTGGTACAAATATTGAATTGTATACCACCGAGTAGGGATTGATTCATAGCTGACCCTCCAATGGGTTTTCAAAGGCAGTAAATTGCACCAGAGTGTATTGCTCATCTTTTTGCTGTAGAGCAATTGGCAGATTTGAACCACATGCCTCCTTTGTATTGACAACACAGTTCCTTACCACTAGGCCACCAGAGCTCCCAGTACAGTAGAGAATATGGTTGTTTGATTGCCTTTCATTTTTTACAACTTCCAAAATTCCTGGATTCATAGTTCATGCATTCCAGCAAATGAAGAGTCTTTAAGGGGGTGAAACTTTTACTCTATCCATGTCCTTTGAGACTAACTTTGAGGGGGCAGGTCTTCTCCAGTTTTGTTTTGAGCATCTTCCAACCTGAGTGACTCATCTTGCAGCATTGTTTTTGACAGTGTTCTGCTGCTATTCATAGGCTCTCAGGGGCCTACTATTTCTGGAGTGGATAGCCAGTTCTGTTCCTTAGTCTGTCAGCTCTGCTGAAATCTGTTCACCATAGGTGACTCTGCTGGTTCTTGACATAGTTGTGGCACAGCTCCCAGTGTCATTTCAACACACAAGTCACCACAGTATGGCTGAAAAACTTGGTTAATTGTCTGTAATACTTAAGTGTTCTAATTGTCGTTGTATGTAACAATTGAGCTATAACTAGGAACATTAGGTAAAGACATTGACCCCGAGAATTCTAAACAGATGACCAGTGCATCTAGAAGATTTAATTATATAGACATTAATGTTTGTCATGAATACAAAGTGTTCAAAATACATGATACGTTCACACAATCTTACCAGGAATTTACTATTTCTCACTATTTGTTTAGTTTGGATGGAGAAGAATAAGTGTTGAAGGATTAGTATTTTTAATGAAGGTATTTGAACAAATATTGTTATTATAGCTGAAACATCTATAGTGCTTCCTTTGGAGAATGTCAGTGTAGATGAGACAGCCTTGTCATGTGAGCTTTACCTTTTTGTTAACTGAACACCTTTGTAGAGGTTCCAGAGTAGATATTCCATTTATGGAATTTCTTCTGATAAATTGTAGGCTGTTCTGCAAGCTTCCTTAACACGTTGCCGCACACTTTTTAAATTGACGACTGTGCTTACAAACACATTTGCCATCATTTGCAGTAATATGGTAAAAAAGTAAAGTTTGTTGTTGTTATGTATCATTGAGTCAGAATCAACTGATAGCTGACCCTCCAGTGGGTTTTCAGAGGCTGTAAATTACATGAGAGGAGATTGCTCATCTTTCTCCCGCTGAGCAGCTGGTAGATTCAAACACTGTGCTTTTGGTTTGGCAGTGTAGCTCCTCCTTACTGCTAAGCCACTAGACCTCCCTTTTGAAAGTTGGGGAAACTTATTTTGGGGCCAATAATTTATAGTTGGAATTAAAAAAATATCATATTTGCTGGTTTTTCTCTATAACACAGTGATAAAAATTTTTCAGATGTTGTAATAAATTTTTAGTGTTTTTGAAACTTGGATGGACTAAACTTTCAGATTTCCTAAGTAGAATATTCAATCCCTTGCTTGTATTTTGTTATTGATTTTTTACTTTCTACTCAGCATCATTTGCAGTTCTCAATTTTTTCTGTGCCTTGATGTAACTATATTACGTCAGTATTTTTTTGTGATTAAAAAGGTAGTAATAAAATATATAGTATTAAGCAACTATATAGGGAACTCTGGTAGTCTAGTGCTAAGAAGCTGTGCAGCAATCCTGAAGGCACGAGGTTCTATTCTACCAGCTTTTTCTTGGGAGAAGGATAGGCAGTAACCTCCCATGCGATTAACTGCCTTGGAAACCCCCCCCCCCCCCAGAGGATCAGCCATTGGTTGGTTCCTACTTCATAGTACACCACCACCACTACCACCACCACCACCACCACCACCACCACCACAACAGGAAGCATCTGTATGCCTGTAATTTTTTTATATGCCTATAATTTTTATAAAAATACTTTAAGCTGTAAGTACATTTCAGATCAAACTTAGAGCAAAGCTACTTGATTTTAGTAGGCGTAAGTTCAAATTATCATGATAGTTTTATAAATTAAAAATAAATTATCATAAATATTTATCAGTATCCCATAAGTATGCTTTATGTGCCCTCCCAATCCATGCATTCATTTTCCTACTTTAACTTAGTAATTATAATCCATATTTAATTTTTGTAAATGGATCTAACAGATCTTAACTACCACCAAAAATTGCACTTTCTTTATAACAGTGATTCTTTAGTAAGCTGATACTTTTTTAACATGTTGCCGTACACTTTTAAATTGACCACGATGCTTAGAAACACAGTTTTTTCAATGTAAGTCGTCATTTGTGGCAACGTGTTAAACTACCAACTGATATTTGTTTAGTAATTATATTTAGTGATTAATTGGGCATTGAGTGAAGTTTGCTACAGAAAAAAATTTATCATCTTCTGTTTTTGCTTTTTTATAACCAAAGAAATTGAAAGGTACTAAATATATCAAGAGAAATAGGTATGTCTTGGAGAGGGTGCAGTCAGTGAGCTCTTGGAGGCAAGAATAAAGACTTCACCTCACATACTTTGGGCATGTTGCTAGGGAGAGCTATTCCTTGGAGAAGATCATGATGCTGGGAAGGATGGAGAGTTGGCAAAGGAGAGGAAAACCCTCAACCAAGTAGACTGACATGGTGACTGCTTCAGTGGGCTTTTGAGTATTAGAAAGTACAAGGATGATGCAGGATAGAAGAGGGTTCAGATCTTTTGTTCATAGGGTCACTATGAGTCACACTCGACAGTGCCTAACAACAATGAATACATCAAGAGAGCAAGTGTGACCATCTTGCTTATTTTATTAAAAAATGTACTGATGATTGGTAGGAAAGACATTTTCTTTTACATATATTTAGATTGTGTTTATTTGATCTCTGCTTTACAGTAAAATACTGATATTTTAAAATTTGTGGAAAAAATGATTAAACTGTGTAAATACTCATTTATAGAATGAATTAATACTTTTGAATGAGAACAATGCCTTTCTTTTGTGTGTGTGTGAAACTAGAATCTCAAGAGGAGGATGGAGATATAGAAGTTGAAGAAGCAGAAGGAGAAGAAAATGATAGACCCTATAATCTGAGACAAAGAAAAACAGTGGATCGATACCAGGCACCTCCAATAGGTAGGCATCTTTAAATAACTTTGTAAATTTTTGTGTCTGGGTAGCTTGTTTTTCCTCCGTGGCTCTGAAAGAATTAATTTTGCTTAACTTAAAACAATGAAAATTCGTGATTTCTTATATCTTTTTCTGCATATAATTTTCACATACTCAGCTGAAAGAAGATCAAAATGCAGAATAATGACCTTGAATTATATACATTTATTTATAAATCTTAAATTTATAAATTTACAGTTTATTCTTTTTTGTTTCTGAGTAGGAGTTCATTCATAATATGAACATATCACAATTTATCCATTCATGTATTTATGCATATACACAATATTCCAGTTTTTAGCTACTAAGACTGAAGGTGTTATTAACATGAATTTATAAATCTTTGTGTGGATATATGCTCTTGTTTCTCTTGATTAAATACTTAATAGTGGAATAATATTTTATGATTAGATAGGTAGTTTTCTAAGGTTTTTCTCATATTTCTAACCAAAGATGGTACTTTGAATCCCCTGCTGTGCTGAAGAAAGATGAGCAGTCTGCTCTCATAAAGACGTACAGTCTAAGGAACCTTATGGTACAGTTTTACTCAGTTGCTGTAAATTTGGTTCAGCCCAAAGGTTGTGTGTTTTTTGGGCAGTAGAATTTATTGTAGTTTAAATTTTTATTCATCCTGGAAAGGGTCAAATCGGGAGGCTCTTTGGAGGCAAGGATTCTGAGGCTCTGTCTAACATACTTTGGATATGTTGTAAGGAGGGACCGACCGGTCCTTGGAGAGGGACATCATGCTTGGTAGGGTGGAGGGACAGCGCCCTCTATGAGGTGGATTGATTCAGTGACTGGGATAATCGGGGTGGGTGTATCTGAGACGGTGCGATTGGCACAGGACAGAGCAGAATTTAGGGCTGTTGTACATAGGGTCGCTATGAGTCGCAAGCGACTCGATGGCACATAACAACAACAACAATGACTAGTGACACAAAACATATTTTCATGGGTTTATTGAATGATAGTACATCTTTGATGATATTTTCTCCTTGTCTGTGATTTAACTTTCTATTCTAGCAGTCTTTCAAAAGTAGAAGTTTTTTGTTTGGATGAACTCTAATTTTCCAAAATTTTTGCTATCAATGTACTGTCATCAGAAGAGTTATATGTTTGATGTCATAACTGAGAATTCATTAATTAAGCCATTATTAAAAGATTGGTTTAATATCTATTTAACTTACTTAACATCATGTTTAATTGCAACTTATAGTACTACTAATTACAGAGCTTTTATTTTTATTGTGCTCTTTCTCAACAACATTGAAATTTGTAGGCATAGGACAACACTTCTAGGTTCTTTCCCAAAATATAATGAAAATAACTTCTGCTCTTTTAATATGTTAATTTACCATTAATTGCTCATTTCCATTATCCTCTTTTTTTCTCCTTTTTGTTTTAGTACCAGCTCATCAGAAAAAGAGGGAGAACACGCTTTTTGATATACATCGATCTCCAGCAAGAAGGAGCCATATCAGGTAGATTCTCTTGTTTTTGAAAGGAGGGTAGAAGTATGTTTTATATTAAATTAGTTTTATAAATATTTAATATGTTAATGAGGATATATGTGTTGCTGTTAACTGTAGTACTAATGAGGGAATAGTAACAGCTTTCTTTCTTATTTAATAGTTATTATCTGTAAGGAAACATATGAAGTACTCCTTTTTCATTCCATCTTAGTGGGGAGAAAAATAACATTCCACTTTTCACTTTTCTGGCATTTCTGTTACGGTATCAGCTGCACTTGCAGCACTTCTTCCTCTGACCCTAACCAGTAGAACCTAGGTCAGAGCATAGTCTTCCAGACTGCCAAGGTTACCCAAGACCCTAACCACTACAGCATCCTCACTTCTCACCTGTAAGCTACAAATTCCCCTTCAAGATGCCAATGTAAGCTTGAGCCCCCTGACCTCTCTCACTTCTCACTTGGTAGCTACAAATGTGGACTTCTTTCTCATCAAAACGTCTCTTTTCTTGTGGTTGCTGTTTATATATTTTCCCTTCATTTACTTTCAGTCTGTCTCTGAATTTGAATTGTTACTTGTAGAGATGAGATATAATTGGATTTTTAAAAAAGTACAATCTGACAGTCTCTGCCTTTGATTAAAGTTGCTTAATCCATTCACATTAAAAAATATTTTTTTTGGGGGTAAGTCAAACCATTTTGTAGAGATTTCAGAGTGAGTGGATCAAAGGCATAAGAAAAATGAGATCAGATGACCTGCCTAGAATCTTCCGGATCTTCCAGCTGCCAAAGAGTTCCATTCACATTTATTTTAATATAGTTGAATTTATACTTGCCATTTTACTTTTTGATTTGGGTTTGTTGTCTTTTTTTTATTTTTTGCTTGTTTGTTTTTGATAGGATGTCTTTTTTGTTCTCCTAATGTTTTCTAATGCAGCATTTTAGTTTGCTTTATGGCTTACTTTTTACACCTTGACTTATCAGAATCCATTCCAGAGATTGTAAAGAATTCATTTTTTTTATTGAACATACTATGTGGACAAATGAGACATCAGAGGTTATTAAGAAATAATTATTGTGTGATAAAGGTGCTGATGTGAATACGAACATAATGTATGCATGAATAAACTCTCAAGAATGGAGAGTTAAGTAATAAGGAGATATAATTTAGAAGCAGAGACCAAAATAGAAAAAAACACCAATGTGAATTAGACACAGCAGATAATAAAGACAAATAATAAAAAATATTAAAAATAGGTGAATTGAAGCAAAAAAGAGAATTTAAATGAAAGTGAAAAATAGAGATAATAGGCAAAGTTCTCACACCTTGAAATTTATTGTTGTTATTTGTTAGGTGCTGTTAAGTCTGGACTCTTCTGATTATCTGGGTAAAAGGCAATAGCAAAAAAAAATTTCTTTGTTTTTGGACCCTAAAGTTATTTAACAAACATGACAGATGTACACCTTAAATTAGATAGAAACCCTATTTATTATTTAATTGCCTTTCCCTAAAGCTTCACCAAACAATTACATGCTTCTTTTCTTTCCCCCCATCTTGTGAAATGTATCACCTCACTACTTCATTAGATATTAATGACAAATGAACAAATGGATCTTTTTAATCTGTTTCACTGCTGTACCCACAACACAGTGAAATTGTGTGGCCCACAACAGGCACTCCATAAATACTGACTGAAAGGACGAGTAAATGTATCCTTACTGAGTAATATTAGATGATAGGATGCTATGTATGAGGAGGGGTTGAGAAGACACAGAGAGAGAGTGAAAGAGAGAGATTGTGATTTGGGATGAGTTTTGAGGGTAAATTAGTGTTCTGCTCAGCAATTTATAGACTTTCCGCCCCCCACTAACATTATTTGCAATTCTTTCAGTGTATTAACACTCTTCTCATTCCTTCCTGGATTCCCTACATACATTTGTTCTTTTCTTATTGTGTGTTCTAAAAAGCCATTTGTTTTTGTAATGGTGTTAAGGATTTTAATCTTTATTCCAATAGGAGGAAAAAACATGCCATTCATAGTAGTGACACAACTTCTTCTGATGAAGAACGCTTTGAAAGAAGGAAATCCAAGAGCATGGCAAGAGCAAGAAATAGGTTAGTAAATGTCTTATTTTTTTTTTTAAATGACATTCTTACCATACTGACAGAATACATTTGTTTTTAGATCAGGATAATGTACTGACTTGGTTTCTGCTTAATACTTCTTTTAGTAAAGATCTGAACTTTGGACCTTTCCCCTGAATTGCCTACTCTCTGAGTGCTCAATCAAATCAGAAAGCTCAAGAAAGAATACTCAGGGAAGAAGTCAATCATTTATTTCTGTAGCATTTGTCTGCTGCTCTCTACCCAATCCAAGTTCATTTAGTAATGCCAGTTTTAGATGCTTATAATTATAGCACTGGAGTAAGATGTGATACTTACTATGTCAAGAGACACTGGATTTTTCTTGGAAAAATTTTTTTAAAAAATTTTTGTTAATGCCTAACAAGGCTAAATTGCTTTCAGTACTCGATGGCACCTTAGACCTGAAGAGTTTTTGTCTGTATTTTAAATGAATTCAAAACCAATTAATCCTAAATGTTCTTATTTCAGCTGTGGAAAGACAGTTTTAAAGTAAATTAGAGCTCAAAAATGTTTGAACATCCAGTCATTGTACAAAGTGCATTTGAAAAAAAAAACACAAAAAACAGGGCTATTTGTATTGTCTTTTGGTATTTATAAAAGGTTAAGAGAAGTATATGCACTTTTGGAGTATAATAAAACGAAATGATAGTATAGGATTAAAAAACTCCCAAACTCCTCAAACTCATTCCCATTGAGGCGGAATCAGCGCAGCCTATCCTCTAGCGAATTTTCCGAGGCCATGAATCCCACAGGAGGATCCGTCTCGTCTTTAGTCTGCGGAGCTGCTGGTGGGTTAGAACCACCAGAAGGGCACCACCTTTGCTTTAGCTGCACCTGGCCACCAGAGTTGTTGTTTGTTGTTGTTATGTGCTGGTGAGTTGCATGCGACTCATAGCGACCCTATGAACAACAGCCCTAAACTCTGTCCTGTGCCAATCGCACTGTCTCTGACACTCCCATCCCGATTATCCTAGTCACTGAATCAATCCACCTCATGGAGGGCCTTCCCCTCCTGCGCTGTCCCTCCACCCTCCCAAGCATGATGTCCCTCTCCAAGGATGGGTCCCTCCTTACAACATATCCAAAGTATGTTAGACACAGCCTCAGAATCCAGAGTAGTTACTGAAAAATAGAATTTAAGTATTCTGATGTATAATCGGAGACTTTTTTTTTTAAGAACAAAAGGAAAGACATGTCTTTAATTTTATGATATGGGTAGATATACTTGTGATATCTGAGGAAATAATTTAGTAAAATTTATGTTTTATTGGGCATATTTTAGTATATGTAGAGATTAATTTTTGCTTTAATAGTTCTATGAAATGAGCTATTAACAGTGTTAAGAAGCTTTTCCAGGTGAGCTCTGGTGGCCTAGTGGCAAGAAGCTGTCCTGCAATCCCAGAGGTACACAGTTCAAATCCACCAGAAGCTCTGCTGGAGAAGGAGGAACAATCTCCTGTACTAGTCAGATCCGATTTGACAGTACACACACACACACAAATAATAAAAAATAAATTTTTTTTTTTTAAAAAGTTTTTCTAGGTTAGTTTGGGCTTCTTAGGCAAGCAGATAAATTATCTTATGGTTAACTGAGTTAGTTGAAAAGTTTTTGAAATAGATTAAAAATAGAATATCCTTTCATGCCATTCTTGGAAGAATGATAGGAGAAAAAGGAGAAAGATGAAAATATAAAAGCACACTTACTTTAACACTAAAAATAGGAAACTTTTTGTTTTTACTTGAATATTTATGTATTTTAGATGTTTGCCAATGAACTTCAGAGCAGAAGACTTAGCTAGTGGTATTCTCCGAGAGCGAGTGAAAGTGGGGACAAGTTTGGCTGATGTTGATCCAATGAACATTGATAAATCAGTAAGTTTTGAAAATTGTTTTTTAAACATTACTTTTTCCTTTTGTGAATTTTTGAAAGTTTCATATTGGACTATAGTAGCAGCCCTGTAAGACAGAGTAGAGCTGCTCCACAGGGTTTCTAAGACTGTAATCTTTACAGAGCATATGGTTACATTTTCCTTCTGTAGAATGGCTGATAATAGGTTTAAATTGGCAACCTTTTTCTTAGCAACTAAGCACTTAATTATTGTGACTAGGGCTTTTTTATTCTTATGTATAGTCAGAATGAAATCATTGCTATTTCTAATCTAAAATCATAGAGGAAAAAAATAGTTTTCTTACTTTTAGTAATAGCTAAGAAAACTCTGGGAGAAACATGGGCAGTCTCCTCTCGTGCCATTAACTGCCTCTGAAAACCCACTGGAGGGTCAGCTATGGGTCGGTTCTGACTCCATGGTATTCAACAAGAAGGAAGCTTCAGAATATTGAACATACATAGAGTCTTAAGTCTAATAGGAACCTTGTCCAACAATCTTTGCCTATATATTGAATCTTGTTAACTTTAGATGTGGTTGCCAGCTAGAATAAGTTATTTTTTTAGAATTTGATAACTATATACAAGACAGGGATTTACCAAATGCTAATGGTTGCCCATGGTGGACAGTGTTTGTTGGAGCTTCCTGATTAAAAGAAACTTGGAAGCAGGAGTGGCATCCACTTACAAAATGGCTTGCCTCTAGAAACTCTATGAACAGTGCTCTAGCCTTTGGTTCATAGGGTCGCTATGAGTCATCTACGACTGGATGGCACTTAACAACAACAACATATATGAGAATACTTAGATTCTCTTAAAATGTTATTTGATACTAGTTTTTATTTACCTATTTACTAAAACTTTTGTCTGTGAGATATGGTGATTGTAAAACATTTTCAGCAACTATAACAGAATAAAGAGTCAAAGAAATAAATCTTCTTTAATACAACTTTCAGGCAATCACTACTGATAGTTTGGCAAGATTTCCTTTAAGCATGTTTATACAGATTTAAAAAAAAGAATAATATGATCTTGTTCTGCTAGATCATTGTTTCTGAAACTTATTTTCATTGTTGCCCATAATTCAAAAGCAGAAGTTGAATTTTTCCCTGACTGGAGAAATGATATACTGTGTAGGTGATTTTTTTTTTGTAAGGGATAAAATGAAACTTTATATAGAAGTAGCTAAGACCTTTTGCCTTTTTCTCCATTCACAGAACAATTTTTGCTCTTTTGCTGTGTTTGCTAAGAATACTTGTGAGATACATGGTATTTTGAATGGCATTTAAACTATTAAAGTATGAATATAATATAAAATTTCATCTAGATTAATATCTATATCTTCATTGTAGATTGGCTATATCTCTGGTTGCATAGAAATTTATTTAAGAATGGTAGCTTCATGTACCTGAACCAAAAGATAAATTAAATTTTATGCTGACTTAATTTTTCTACCCTTATTTGTAATTATTTCAGAAGGTCCTGTTAAATAGAAAGCCCATTACAAATTGAAATATGTATAAAACATTTAAAGATTTTTACATTAAGCTTTTTCCTTCTTTCTAAGGTACGGTTTGATAGCATAGGTGGGTTGAGCCATCATATTCATGCACTGAAGGAAATGGTTGTATTTCCACTTTTATATCCAGAAATTTTTGAAAAGTTTAAAATCCAACCTCCAAGGTAAGTAATATTGAAGGTATATATTATTTTTAATATCTTAAATTTATAAATTTCTATTAAATATATATATTTATAATTATAAATACTTGACATAGGTTTATTTGATTTCTTAAAATAGTCAGAAATAGGATAAAATTGTATTATTTATATCTTAGAGGCTGTGGACCTAAGTGTATTCTTGAAGGTTATATATTACCTTTAGGAATCTGGTACAAGATGACTTCTTATTGATGCCTTGGCTGTATAACTTAATTGCCAAAGGAATTTCCCAAATTTGGATTTTTAGAATAGTATTGACTTTGAAGCTCTCTGTTACTTAGATTTGGAAGCACAATTTCACTGAAGTGGGGTATTTTTTGAAAAAGGATAAATTTAGTAATTTATGAACAAATAATTTATAAATGATTATAACAGAAAGTGAGTTACTGAAAATGAACAAATTGTTTTAAAGGATTGTGGACAGTATGTTCTAAAGATGTATACATACCTTTAGGTTGAAATTGTTAAATGGTTTTTTTGTTGAAACTTAATCCAAATTTATTTTACATGCTTTTAAGAGTTTGGAAGCTAATACTAAAAAAAACTTTTTCAGTTTGATTAATGAAATGTAAAAGTGGTATTTAATTTTATATTAAGCTTTAAAAATCAATGTAACAACTTATTTTTTTCACATAACTTCAGTATTTAAAAACATTATCCTTTTTCAAAGCTATTAAGTTAATATGCTCTTGGAAAAGCTTAAAGCAGAATGTGTATTATGGTAGCTTTCTCTTACCCTAACCGAAGTACTTTTTTCTTTAGGGATAAGCAGTTTTGTTCCTTACACTTTTAAAAAATTTATGTATATTACTATTTTTGTCTTTATTATACACATAAAAACATGTACTGTAAATGAGATTTTATAGCTATATTCTTCTGTAACTTTTTTCCTCTGCAGTATGTTTTAGATACTTTTACTTTTGTCAATAAAGTTTTGATATTTGTTTTTTAATTTTATTAATTTTAATGGATATTTACAGAGATTTTGTATTTCCATTCATTCATTGGATATTTGTTTTATAATTGTAGCAAAATTTAATTCACTATCCTATCTTTATAGATATTACCTAGAGATTTTACATTTTTCCATAATTTGAACCATAGCCTTATTGAACACCCTTTTCAATTTATATTTATAAATATTTTTGGAGTATTTCTGTATGGTGCTTTCTAAGATAAGAAATTTCTAGGCCACAGGCAAAACAGATTTAAAATTTTAGTACATTTTGTTAAATTACTCTTTGATTTAACTATGTCTTTCCAACCAATTGATTTGAGAGTGTCCTTTGGGGATTTAGTGAAATGAAACACTTGTGAACATATTGGAAACAAGTTACCAATGTCTAGTAATTGTATGATGATAAGATTTAAGAGAGGGACATTTTTGATATTGATTATATCAGTAGCAGTGATGACGTTAATTTACTGGGTTTTTTAAATTTTTTTTTTTTCTTATCTAGAGGCTGTTTGTTTTATGGTCCTCCTGGCACAGGTAAAACCTTGGTTGCCAGGGCGTTAGCTAATGAATGTAGTCAAGGAGACAAAAAGGTGGCTTTCTTTATGCGAAAAGGAGCAGACTGTTTGAGCAAATGGGTTGGTGAATCTGAAAGGCAACTTAGGCTTCTTTTCGACCAGGTAAGAGATAATAGCTAATTCTGGAATAGTTTCTTAGATAGAATGTTTGCTATATTTAGTTTACAAGTAGTCAGTTTATAGATGGAAAATAGATTTTCCAGCCAATGTGCTAAAGTTTGGATAAATTTGTATCCCTTATAATTGCTTAAAGCAGTTTATTACTACTTTACAATATTTAAGATTATTCATAAAACTTTTGTTGAGTTAGCTAAAGGGCATAAAATATATTGTTATTTGCCTAGGTACAACGTCTATATCGTTAGATAGGGAGCTCTGGAGGACTAGTGGAAGGAATTGTGCTGTGAACCCGGATGCAGATGGCTTGAATCCATCAGCTCCTCTACATGAGAAAGATCCACTTGTGTGATTTACAACCTCTGAAAACCTGAAGAAGGTGAAGCTATGAGTTGGTTTTTACTTTCTGACACATAACAACAGCATCATTAGATTAGTAAACATTTAAGGAAATATGGTTGTTAGCTGCAGTCAGTCAAATCTAAATCATAGCAACTCCGTGTACAACAGAACAAAATACTGTCCAATCCTGAGCAGCCTTTAGTCTTTGCTGTACGTGAGCCTGTCATTGCAGCCACCGTGTGTGTCTGTCTTCTTTCTGAAATGTGTAGAGGGTCTTTATGACTGGCAGTGGTTTATTGAGGAGTGATGAGGGAATAGTGGATAATCCTTATTTTTATGAGTTATAAATACGGTGCTAGTGGGATTCAGAAATAAATGAATATTTTTAAAAGACAACAGTCTGTACTATTTATAGGGAAGTCCAGTGGCATATTACTTAGTGTATTGCACTGCAAACCAAAAGACTACATCTTGAGGTGTTCCAAACCATCAGCGCCTTGGGATAACGATGGGCAGTTTCCTTCCTTTGCATTTATTGTCTTGAAAACCCAGTGGAGGTTCACGGCAAGTGGGAAATGACTCCATGGCATTGAGTGAATGAGAACACAATTTTTATTTGTAACTTAACACCTAGTGGTCTACTTCTTAAAACAGTAGGCCAGGGAAAACCTTATGAATAGCAGTGGAACATTATCTGCTGTAAAACAAAAAACTCTCATTGTTAAGCCAGAACCACATCATTGCTGACCCTTTGTTGGTTTCTGAGGCTGTAAATTGCATAAAAGGAGATAGCAAATGTTTTCCCTGAGGCGCTATTCAGAGAGGCATGGTCTTTAGGTTAGTAGCACAAGTCCCCCTGGACTAAGCCACCAGAAAATGAGCCTCTCAGGTTGTCGTAGGACTGCAGAATAACATCCTCCTTAAAGTAGAGCTGACCGTAATGCTTGAATGAAGTAAAGCTTTTGGAATCTTCATTTGCTGCCTGTGTGTGGCATGACTAAAAATAAGAACAAACAGCGACAAACATCCTTAGTAACTGGGAATATATGTAGTATGAATGTAAGAAGGTTGCAAGTTATCAAAATGGAAATGGGTGTCTAAAAAGCGATATTCAAATAAATCTAATGGAATTAAAATGAAACAGTATTTTGGGTCAGACAGTCATAAGGTCTGTTATGTGGGAATGAAGGGTTAAAGAGGCTTAGCTGTACTTTCATCATCAAAAATAACATTTCAAGATCTATTCTTGTGTACAGTGCTGTTGGTGGTAGGATAATCTCCATATTTCTATAAGGAATATGCCTACTCAGATACTCCTAAGCCCACCATCCACTAGTGTCAGGGAAGAAATTGAAGTTTTACTACTCTGCAGCCTGAAACTGATCACGCTTGTAATCAAATTGTATTACTAATTATAGGTAATTATTATGCACAAGCTAGAAAAAAATCAGAAGAATTTAAAACAAATAGATGGATTGTAATTGGGAAATAGGTGTTGTTGACAAAAATGATACCTAAGTTTGAATGATAGAATCTTGCAAGATAAGACTGCAAATACTACACAGGATTCAAACTACATTATAGAAAAGAGATAAATTGATTTATCAGAGAACAAGTCCAGGGGCCAACTTAAGAACAGATCATCAGGTGCTCATATGCAAGTTCATCTTGAAGCTAAAGACAATGAAACAAGTCCAAAATAGACAAGTATAACCTCCAAATCATCCCACATAAGAGATCCCCTGAAGAACAGATTTTATATATTGAACACTAAGGGAGCTCTATTAGCATTGTCCCTTGTGATTTGTGTTGCTAACCCAAAGACCTCACTTCTGCAGCAGTTCAAATCCATGAAGAGCTCCTTGAGGAAAAGATGAACAGTCTCTTTCCATTGGATTTACAGACTTGGAAGCCCAGTGAGGGTCATTGTGAGTCAGAATTGAGGGAGAGCTTTTGAGAATGACTAATGGTTAGATGAGATTAATACTCATAATAGCTGGATAGTGTATTTTTCACTAACATTGTAAGTTCCAAACGTAGATTAGGAATAGGTGTCGTTACATAACCTTAAGCAAATCAAAGTGTCTGATCCTTAGTCCCTTCTTGTGTAAAATGAAATAATACCTGATTTGTGAAATTTCATGAAGAAGATTATATAAAGATGGATGAGTCTCTGAAAATTGCATGAAAGCCTTGAGAAGTCGCAATAAAGGGAAGAGATGTTGAAGTAAAAGAAATGAGCAGAATATTTCAAAGGGCAGCTCAAGAAGACAAAGCAGAATATTGTAATGGAATGTTAGAAGAGCTAGAGTATAAAAAGGGAAGAACTTGCTTTGAGTCTCTCAAGTTGAAAGGACTGAAAAATTCAAGCCTTGAATTGCAGTACAGAGAGATATTATGGGGAAAATCTTGATTGATCCAGGAAACATGAAAAGAAGATGGAGGGAATATCCAGAGTCATTGTTCAAAAGTAATTGCCAGGCGGTAACATATGATAAGAGCCAATGGTAATGAGGGAAGAAATTTAAGTTGCACTGAAGGCCTTGGCCCTGGCAGTTGATGGGATAATAGTTGACACATTTCAACTAACAGATTCAGCCCTAGATGTGCTCATCAGTTTTTGCCAGGAAATTTGGAAGACAACTATTTGGCCCACTCACTGGAAGAGATTTATTTCCATTTCCAAAATAAGGGATCCAACAGAATGTGGAAACTAGCAAACGGTATCATTACTATTGCATGCAAACAAAAATATTCTGAAGATCATCCAAAAATGACTGGAACAGCACATCATCAACAGGGAACTTGTAGAAGTTAAGGCTGGGTTTAGAAAAGTCCGACACACTAGGGATATTAGATAGATCTTGAAAATAGAGAGTACCAGGTTGTCTATTTGCATTTTATTGACTGCAGTAGACATTTTCCCTCCAGTAGACATTTGACTGTTTTGACCACAGCAAAGTATGGTTAATATTGAGAAGAATGGGAATTCCAAAATTCTTAGACCAATTCTATACCTGAACCTAGAAGCTGTTGTGAACAGAACAAGGGAACACTACGTAGTTTAAAATAAAGAAAAATATGCATTAAGTCTGTATCCTCTCTTCATACCCATTTAATCTGTATGCTGAGAAAAACTTTGAGAAGCTGGAACTTTATATAGAAGAAGAATGTGGCATCAGGTTTGGAGGAAGACTGGACGTCAGTTAAAAGACTAAATTGTGCTTGATTCAAGCCATAGTCTTTTCAGTTACTTGCTATCCGTCTGAGAGCTCAACAGTGACTAAGGATGTCAGAAGAAGAAATGAGGCCTTTGAGTTATGGTGCTGGAGAAGAATACTGAGTATCTTATGAACTGCCAAAAGAAGAAATACATACATCTTGGAGAAGTGCAACCAGAGTGGTCCTTAGATGCAAGGATGGTGAAGCTTCAGCTCATTGGATTGGTACAGTGACTGCAACAATAGATTTAATTGTATCAAGGATGATTAAGGATAGGATGGGGTTCATATGTATTGTTCATAGAGTCACTATGAGTCATATTCAGTGATACCTAACAACAGTAACAACATCTTCATCTAATATACTGCTTTTCTTTTGACAGTTTTATAAGGTTATCTAAACACATGTAACATGTCAACATGGTTGGTTCCAGAGAACCTCTTACTATACGTATGTGAATGTTACATGAAATTGGAAGATAACTTTATCAGATCACCAAATAGAGGATTATTGCCTCAACACATAACTTCTAAATCGTATCATTATATAAGTATTAGACCACTGAGAATCATGGCATATCCAGGTTTAAATCTATCCTTCTCATAACCATCATTATTATTGCTGAGCAACTTGGTGTTTGTTACGGTCAGTGTGCTTTGTTAATGCACAAAATCGTCTGAAAGTGTGTGTTGGTCACTTGGTATAAGAATGTGGCATGAACAATGAGATAGATGTGGATCCCATTCTAAGATTTTTTTAGATTTATTAAGTAGTTAGGGTGAGCTGGCAGCATACTCCGACAAGAGTTGTGCTGCCAACCCAAGAGTGATGTCTCTCTGGTAGTTCGAGCCCACCAGTGACGCTGCAGAAAAAAGATGGACAGTCTACTCCCATGGGATTCACATGCTCTGAAAACCCACTGGAAGGTCAGCTGTGAGTTCATTATGACTTGCCACCAGTGTCTTTTTGAGATTATATGTATCTTTTAGTTTTTTCCTCTAGAGTCTCAGTATTGTGATTGAATTATACTTCATTTCACATTATTAGAGAACACTGTCAATCTAGTCCACTTAATATAAGCCAGGGAGAAATGGAAAATTCATATCTTCAGTCTGCTCACATCCTAACATCTAAGAATTTGCTGTAAAGTACTATTAAGACATTTCTCAAATTACATTTATTTGAGTAAATGATATGATAAGGAATTTTCATGTGTGATCTAATATTCACATACTTTAAGTTCCTGCTTAGATCAAAGATTTAAATTAAAAAAAAGACTCTGTGAAGTCATTAGAAGACAACATGAGAAAATTTTTATTATGACATTTTGTAATAAATGTAATAGCATAAAAGAAAAACTTGACTTTATAAATTAAAAAAATATTCTTCATGTAAAAAAATTACAAGTAAAATAATTTGATAAGGGTTATCTTTGGTGGAAAAATTTTCCTTCCTAGATAAATTTTTAAGTAACTGAGTGAACCACCACCATACTTTCTGTTGTTAAATCAGTTGTGACTAATGGTGACTCTCTGTGTTTCAGAGTGGGACTGTCTATCCCCTTTCCTTGGCTGTCATCTTAACAGAACAGCTCTCCAGGTCTTATTTTCTACAGAGCTGCTGGTTTTGTTAAAATAACAAACTTTTATGCTCTTACTGAAATACAGGCTATTTGTGTCACCTAGGGAATTTTAAATAAATGGGTCTTAGAAATCAGTGAGCAAAAAGGCTGCTGATTCAATGTAAAATAGACAAAGGACATTTACACAATTTCATAGAAAATATAACACAACTATTCATTAAAGGTATGTACATTTCTCATCATTTAGAAATAAAAAATTTAATAAGAAGCACTGTACTCTACTTGGGAAATATTAGTTTAAAATGGCTTGATAATAGTTTTAGATGGACAAGCCGAAGGTGGTATAGCACTGGTCTGTGCGTTGCTGTACAGAGGTAACTCGTGGTTGCTGTGATGCTGAAGCCTGTGACAGTGATGTGCCAATCGTGGTAATGGGCACCCATGGTGGACAGTGTTGGCTGGAGCTTCCCGACTAAATTAAGCCTGGAAGCAGGAGCGGCATCCACTTCCGAAATGGCTTGCCTCCAGAAACTCTATGTACGAACAGTGCTCAGGCTGTTCATTCATAGGGTCACTATGAGTCGTCTACGACTCAACGGCATTAAACAACAACAACAACAGTCTTCTTTATAAAAGGAAGAAGAGAAAACCATTAACAGTATAAACAGCCCTAGTCTGATGATACTTAAGATGTCAGAAATACTTTCTCCAACTTTCACCCCCGCTCCCTAAAACAAAACAAAAATCTGGCTGACTTTCATAATTGATTAAATAGAAATAATGATTGTGGAATTTATTGAGGAAGTGTTAGGTTAGAATTCAGGGTTTGCAAGGATTCAGGATAATACCTTCTTAGCTGTGCACATAGATGAGCCTCTCCCTGCCTCTCATCCTTTTGGCCTCCTTTTGTTTTGCCCAGGCAAGTGCAAAGTTTCTTAGCTTGTAACTCAGGCAAATACAAGCTCTTCAGTTTCATTGGTAAATCCCTAGATTACTAGTATGGAAATGATGAGAATATGCATGCATTTTGAAGACTATGGCCAGTCCCCCGGACCAGTTTGTATAGAAATTGTTTTTTAAAAAAGGACCTAAGTCGGGAACAAAGAAGAAGATTCAGTAGTTGGAAAACATGGACTCGGTGACAGAAATGGAGCTGGAGAGAGAATGATCGAATTTTGAACAATCAATGACTTATTCATAGCAAATACATTTTTTAAGAG